TGAATAAAAATCTATGCTCTTCCCGCTTGAAATATATAATACAATATTGATGCTTGAAATAAAACATAAAAGCCATGGCAGCCAGGGGAGCCAGTGCTAAAAATCAGAAACTTTCCCAAGCAGCAGCAGTGAACATGTTTTTTCTCCACCGCTCACTACGTTGGCCTAGTGGCCGTCTAGGATTTTTTTGCGGGATTCACAGCAGCACCAATAATGTGGCACGGTGTGAGGCTGTCCAGTTACATTCAAAGATGTGGTTTTTTTTTACTCAATGTTAATATTAATAAAACAATACAAAGTGTAAAGTAACCCGGACATCACATTTCTTAACTAGTACAAAAGTACCTTGAGGGATTGTTTTTTTTTTTGGTAAATCGTGTATTTTGGAAATTACATTTAGATACAAATTACTGAATAATGAAATATCCAAAATATTCTTCGATCTTACCGACGCAATAATAAGAAAATATGAACTGGTGTTTTTCACAAAAGAAAGAACTTTAAAAAAAAAGGGAAAAAAGAACAAAATCATCTGGATGGACGAAAAATCTGGAACCGAAAAAAAAGTAAAAAAATATGTATGTAAATGATCGCGACAAGAACCACGGCCTTAAGAAAAAACTATAAGAAAGAATATTTCATGATAGTATTTCATTTTAAGTTAATTGTTTATTCTGAGCACGGGTTGCAGCGGTGGCCATGACGAATTCAACGAGATAAATATGATGTCACTGCTGGTGCACTAGGGGCGCACAAAATGTACTCATTATGTCTACTACTCAATCGTCAAAAACCGATATCTGTACGTAGGAGATATTTAAAAAAAACTATGGAGAGTCTTAATGATGGCAATAGAAGTCATAACAATTATTTTTAAAACTTGTTATTTTTGTCTGTCTGTCTGTCTGTGTGTTTCGTGCGTGAGTTTTTTATTTTAATAACTTGGATCGAATCGGTTTCTTATAAGGATTTCCCCCTCCAAGCACTGTTTAAAAATATTCCGCATATTTTATTTTTAACGCAACGAAAACATCAACAAACCTTCGTATTTTCGCTGGGTGCTTCTGGATTCGCAGTTAAAGCAAATATGCCTTACAACTTAGCAAATATGGTACCTTTCCATGGGTCGGCACATTTGCGAGATGTGAATAACGTGGATAAAGGTATTGGCTTCGTTTTTTACTCCTGGCCGCCTGCCTGACGTCAACCCTCCTTCAGAACATACTTCCAGAACCGGACAATTGTAAATGTGGGTCACCAAAATACTTATACGGAACCAAAACTTGTATGGCTTAGCAACTAGTTATACCAACAATACTTTCACGAACCTCACTTATGTGTGTAAATGATCGTGACACGATCCACGGCCTTCTGTTTCGGATTTCCCGATTACTGACGGAGCTATTGTAACATTTTTTTTCGGTGAAATGTACCGTTGTATTCGAGTGATACAAGTTCGCCCCCGAATCTATGCACATACTAAATTTCATGAAAATCGCTGGAGCCGTTTGCGATATATCTGATTATATATATATATTTTACACTTAGATGATCATTTAGATCAACGAGTCCAAGTTCGTTTTCAAGCGCATCCGAGCGTCCATCCAAGTAACAGTAAATGTTTCACAGTTTATTTAAGCATATCCAGTAGGAGAGACCGGGGTTGGAAGTCCAATTTTTGGATTTTGAATTTTTAAGTGCCCATATTCTTGGCAAATCAATGAAATTTATATCTCAATGGATAGTATATCTAATCTAGTTTCAAAATAAATTAATACTTCTTGACATTAATATTATCCATTGAGGAAATATTAAATTTTTGAGAAAAAGGAAAAGTGTGACTTCTAACCCCATGTCAGGGATGGTTGTCACAATGCCAGGGGTAGGTAGACACAGTGTAAATCAAGGGAGGAAAATATAAAACAATCACTTATTTAAATCAAATGGGTAGGTATTTTTATTAGAAATAGAATCTTGAACTGGTATACAAAATGAAAAGAATGTAAAATATTCATTATAAAAATAATAGTCAACAAATTCACTTTTACATAATTTCCATTTAACAAAATTAGAATTCTTGTTACGAAAAGAACAAAAACGTAATCATAAACAGGCACTGATTTATTTGGACGTTATACTTTTAAATAAAAGTGCGGACGATATAATATGAAGTCAATCCTAGTAATCAGTCTGGATATTTAGATTCACAATTTTGGCAAATGTATCAGTAATCAGCTCTCCGTGGCTTGCGTGGAGGAGTTTTTGCACCATAGTCACCCCAATTTCGTCCATGTTCCACGTTTCAAGTTTAAAAAAAAACTGTTGATATTTTGTGGATTAAGATTGATGGTTTTTTGCTGGAAACTCGAGCAAACTAGTGGATTCAGGTCTTCTAATGGACAGAGAAGGATGTCTGTTCATAAACGACGTAAACTAATCGCGGCCGGCTAGCTTATTTGAATCCCAAGAGTGTGGAACTTTCAACTTATTGGAGACGTACCTTATTATGTAGCAAAATTCCAAAAAGCCAAAAAAAAGCTAGCAGACATGCATAGGGTTGGTTGTCACATGTGACTACCAGCCCTCGTTAAGCTGAGACAACCTGCCCCAAAACACATTTTAGAAAATAACCCTAAAAATAAATCTAAATCGGTGTATATTTATAAAACTATATAACAATATCGTGAGCCATATATTTAACTTAACTAATACATTAATAGGTATTTTACAATGCAAAATTTAGGCACACTTACAAGGATCGACACAGATGCACGAAAAATTACTTTTGGTGTAAAAAAAAAAAAAACAACGCACGTTTCTCCGTCACGACGTTTCGGAGCGAACCAAAGTGAATTGGGGAGGAAGGTGATGCCTTCGCGATTCTTTGACGCCGATCAACTTTCGTATTCGTTCATTAACTTTTCTGTTATGACCGCTGTGACAACCAACCCGTGAGACAACCATACCCGGTCTCCCCTATACCCTTTACCAAGTTACCAAGCTTTAAAAAGTAGCTTGTCCACGTATCTTTATGCTCTTCGTAAAACCGTTCTCATTATTTCACTTGCGTAACGTCTGAATCTACGAGAATATTATGGTATTTTCTTCCAGTACCTAATTCTGTGCCATAATCATCGGGCAGTAAAACTTTCTATGTAAATAGTTATACGCTTTAGCAGCTGAGATAAAAAGTATTCATTCTTCGACCACTCCATTATGCCAGGTATACCAGTACCTATACTAAATTAAGTACCTACTTAATGTTCTATGCATAAAAACACCAAGTCTATTTTATAGGGAAATAATTTTAATTTTTATACAGCCTTTATTCTCCACGAAGGTTACTTAAAAAAAATAAAGATTTCATGTAAGATCAAAGGAATTATTATCCTTTTCGTAGGAAATTCCTAAAGTCCCTCCATTCCCGTTGAAGCGCGTCAATTCGTAAACGCGTCCATAAAGCAATAAGAAAAAAGAGGACGGCAAGTGTTTGTCACTTTAACGTAAGTGTAAAATAAAAATATTAAAACATTGCGAAAATAATTGAAATAAAATTGCCGTTCTTCAGTACTGGCCATTTCAAACAAAAAAAAGTTTTGATTGGCTGTGAATTCTAAATAAAATTAATTTGATTTTAAAAACATGAAGTTACTTTTACAAAGTTAGTTTTTTGATTATTTATTAGCTTTGTATTTTCCTTACATTTGAACATTTCTCGTCATAATGGATAATTATGGAATATGAGTTCCATCATGGCACCAACGCGGCACAAACGGCACGTAACATCAATAACGTTTACGGAGAGAACTTTACAAACGAATACACAAACCGTTATTGGTTTGCCCGGTTTGTTCTCGAAATTTTGAAACTTGAAAATTGAACCTTGTGGTCGTCCGGACATTGATGATGCTCAATATAAAGCCTATCTAGCAGCAGCTAGCTGCCTAACGCGAACTAAAGACTAGACGTCCCAATCGGGACGTTTTCGAGGCTTTACTCTAGGCGCGTTACCATAAGAAACATATCTATTGTATAAAATATCATAGAACACTATAAAATAGAATGTCATCATCATCATCATTTCAGCATATTTGAGTCCACTGCTGAACATAATAATATAATGTAAATTTCTTTAATTTTAACTGAATATCGTTATTATTATTTTTAATTATGTAAAATAGTTTTCACAGGGCACAGGCATTGATATAAAAGAGACATCTACTCATGTGATTATGTAAGTCTTCTGATTAAGTACAATTCAGTATTAGATTGGAGATATCTGAAAAGTTAAATAAGACTATTATTTCAATTTCAATGAATATGCATCATTAATTTTCTTAACAAATAATTTTTTTTTATTAACGAAAAACAAAACCGCGAAAAATTGCCATAAAATCACGTTTTAAAAAATGCAATGTTTTTGAAATTTAACTTAATATTTGAACATTTTTAAAGTTTATGACTGTAGAAGAAACGTTCTTAGCCTTTTAAAAATTAAGCAAGCATATTCTCGTTGTCTACGGCAAGTAAACTGCTCCTATTGGCTAACAATTCTCCTTGTTTTGCTTTGCCAATATGGCGCTGCTGCTGTTATGAGATGACAACATCGCAGTTTGTGTCCCATTTGTCATATTTAATGTTACAGTCAACATTAAAAACATAGTTCGAAGTCTCAAATAATTTTAGCGATTTAAATCCAAGTTTCATTAAAGTGAGACGCTCGTTATCAGTGTAGTTTACATTCTAATGCGTTGGTGGGAAAAGTACATAGATCCAGTAAAAATGGCGGGTGTGTTATCTTTATGGATAGTGTTTTTATTTCTCCAGTAAAAGGCTATTAAAAGTAATACATTACGTTGAAATATAAGGGGTTCATTTAAAACTGATTGTGTATTATAGTAATGAGCGCAATATGTTTTACCCGCTTATTTGACAATTGAAGAAAGTGATTGTTTCACGGAATCAGCGCAGGTGTCAACGTTTTTGATGAAATTTTCAAAATGTCACGCTGGGGAAGAGGCCGAGGCGGTAGTGTGGCCGTGCCGTTAGATAGTGCACTTTTCAGAGAAAACAGTAATTGCCCCTCCGCGGCTCGTTCAGCAGGAACTGTTGGCAAATGGGGTATCACTAGCTTCACGTCTATCAGGAGTGCTCCGTACGGTAAGTCTTGACTTTTGATTAAGTTAGCCTTGAAGTATTTATATTTATAAACATGCAAACAACCGTTAGAACAGATATAAACAACACCTAAAAGTAAAAGTAAATTCTAGTTAGAATACTGTTTTAGTTAAAATTCTATTTTATAAAACGCTAACTTACCTATCCTGACCCTACTTATTATTCAATAATTTAAATTGTTACAGCATATAATAGTCTTCTGAAGAAGCCAGTTCAGGATCAAAATAGTCCATTGACAGTGCCAACTGTAGACACAGAGCAACCACCACCAAAACCGAAGAAATTTTTTAAGTCTCGCAATGCTGAGGCTTTCCCACCTGTTCCCCAAATTGCTTATGCACCCCAAATATCAGTCCCACCTCTTTCACCAGAACACCCACCAAGTAGTAAGGAAAAGAAAACAACCAAACGGAGTAGATACAATAGAGATTCATCTTCACCAGAATTGCCACGACGTAATTCTGAAAAGACTAAATCAAAAAAGAATGCAGTTGCAACAAAAGCAGCAAAAAAGGAAGATCCTTCTAGTGAAAATTCACAACCACCAAATAAACGGTACTTAGTACGTAACCGCAACAAAGTCATAAATTATGCTGAAGATGGTAGCAATAGTCCTATACCTGAAATGACAACTTATGAATCATTACCTCCAAAGGTTCAATCACCAAAAGCTAGTCCTTTAGTCTCTAGCCCAGGACCCATTAAGGCAGATGTAAGTCCTTCAACAAGCAAAGATTCAATAGAAGAACGTAAACCTCCACCTATTGTTCTTCGAATATCTAAGGGAACATCAAGAATAGTGAGCACAGACTCAAATGAAGGATTTACATCGCCTGGATCTGATAGACATTCTTCTATGGATTTCCATTCAGATTTGGATCATAAAAAGAGTCCTTCAATGGAAACAATATGTTCACCAAAGCATGAAGGTCTTAAAATTACCATAAAGTGTTCATCACTAAGTCAAGAAAGTAAAAAAGAAAAGAAAAAGGAGAAAAAAGAAGGCCATCATAAATCACATAAACGGCATCATAAAAATGACGATGAGCTGGCTCGAAAAGGTAGTTCCCCTGTACCAGGTACAGATACATATGACCTATACCGGGCCTTGGTGTCACCTGTGCATGAGAATGAAAAGGAACCTAAGAGTAAGTTGTTAGTTGATAACATTGAGTCACAATTAGCTAAGTTAGATTCTACAAGTTCTACAACTAAACCCAAATTAGAATCAAAAGGTCCTATACCTGAACCTAAACCCCCTGAGGGGGGAACAGGAAGATCAAGGAGGAATAGACCAAATATTAACTACAGTGAAAATGATGATTATTTAGATGCAATCACATCTAAAGCAGCTAATAAACATGGAACAAAGACTGTTAGTGATATTAAAAAAGAAGTCAGAAAGAGTAAAAGGAAGCTTGAAATTGTGCCTGCTGCTGATTTCATAGAAAATAATGAGGTTCAAGGAACTGAAAAAGACACTGAATCTCATTTGGAGAATAATGACTTAATTAATATTTTGTCTGGTGACAATGATAAACCTCTAAGTGACTCTCAGAAACCCAGAAATATTAAGAAACAAAAGAATAAGCATAAAAATACTAATCCGACTGATAATACAGAACCTTGCTTAGAGAATAAACTATATGAAAGGACTGATAATAAACTAGTTTTATCAAATGTACCTGAAAATGAAGAGTATGATCAAGATGAGGAACACTTGCACAAAAATAATATAATGAGTCAAGAAGAACATGATTTAGAATCTCAGATAGAAAGTCAACCAGAAGAGCTGTGTTCTGACCAGTCTGAAAATATGATGGGAAGTCGACAACTACGAGACGGTTCTCAAGCACTTCAAACAAATGAAGACCAGATAAATACACAAGCTCATTCAATGGATTCTGCTTACAATAGTTGCCCTAATGAAAATTCTGAGGAAGAATCCCAAAAAATTCAATCTGAAGAAAACTTTAAAGCTCCTGAGGGTATCAATGATACAGATAATTCCACTGATGATAAGCCATGTGTTAAACTGGTTATAACAAAGAAGAAGGGCTCTATATTCAAGAGCAAGTCGCTGGTTAATGATAATCCATCACCGTTGCCAGCAAGGAAAAGGAGACATTTGTATAAACACCAGTGGGCTAATGATGTAAGTTTTAGTGTATATTATATGAAATTTAATTTATTTGTCAATTTAAAGTTTATATAATGTTTTTTCTGATGTTATTTTCATTTTATTTATTTATATTTTAGGGTTAAAATCTATTGTGTGTACTCTTAAAATAAGGGATCTTGTTTCAATTTCATTATACATTATTTCAGAAAGGAAATGAAACTCCTAGACCCGAGCAACCTGAAAATACAGAGGTAGAAAATCCTGCAAGTGCAATACCTGAATCCTTAACAAGAGTCAAAAGATATAGGTCACCTGACCCAATCATAACCGAATTAGATTCTATTGAATCTGGCCGCCAACCTTACACAAGTGTTAGGTGTGCAAAAGAGGCAAAAGAGGTAAGTAATATTTTAAAAAATGTCTACGTATCTTAATATTATTCATGTTAATACATTCATAAACTAATATTAACACATGTATATTAAAATAGAACATATACATATTATGTAAGTGTGCAAATCAAATCATAAGATTATTACATTTTAATGTACTTTATTTGAGTATTAAACTCACTAAGAATTAGTAAGCTAAAATCTCGATATTCCTAAGGATAATTTTAGTTACTTCTACACTGATGTGTTATTTATTACTGTGGCTTTAGTACCATGTGCAAAAATATTTTTATAATTATGCATTTTTTTTTTTTTGTTTTAGTTCTACACAGTTGTAAGAAATGTGAAAAAAGCACATCAAATACAAGAAATTGGGGAGTTCCAAGAGTTTAATGATGATGTAGAATATTTGCTAGATGCATTACAGGTATTGTTTTGGTTACAATAATTGTTTGCTATATCTTTATCTCAATATACAACTATATTTAACTTATAATTGTAAATTAGGTATTTAAAAATTAGTTCAAACTTAGTGGTCATAAAAATTATATTATTATTTGGCAACATTTGCTTTACTTTGTGAGAAACAACACCTACAATTATTTTAGATGGCTATACAAATCTTTGTTTTTTCTTTTACAATGTCAAATTTATGACATGAAATCAAATTTATGATTCTTTAAATCCTAGGACAACAATCCAATGTCGACACGATGTCTGTCAGCTATCACGTTAGCGAGCAAATGCACGGCGCCTGCCTTCCGCATGCATTTGCGGGCACATGGCACCGTTCAGAAGTTCTTCAGCGCGCTACACGACGCCACTAATGATCAGGTGATTGTACCCAAAGAGATAATATTTTCTGTTTTACTCACAATTTACCATTTCTTATTTGTTTTAGAGCCAATTGTTGGAGCCAAAATTTAATTTTTAAGCTATTTGGTAGTTAGACTAAAATAATCTTTCTACACACTGTCTATGCGTCTGCAGACTCTTCAGATCTACTATATAATAAATTATAATTGAGATTTAGTACTGTTTTTTGGTGTAATTTTCACCCAATGACCAAAATTCAGGCAATAACTTCAATTTTATTGAATGTTCAATGATATTGAATTGAAAAATATTTTTGTCTAAAGTTGAAGTTAATAAGTATAAAGCTGCTTTCCTTGATTCCCTGTAGAGACAGCATATATGGTGGTGATAATTTTTAGTGACGATAATTATTTTTCAGAGCTTGGGACTGTGCACAGCAACAGTTATGTTTGTGCTCTCTCAAGATCGTCTCAATATGGATTTAGATAGAGAGTCATTAGAACTAATGTTGAATCTCTTAGAATCAGATGCTTCTCACAAGTAAGTATTTTATATAATAAATCTTGCTTACTTTTATTGTAATGCTTATGTAACCTGCAAGGGTTGTTAAATTCTAGAATTCATAAAAAAAAGAAAACATGAATATCCATCTAAATCAGTTGATGAACTTTCAATATTTCAATTAAAAAAACAATTACATATTATAGTATGTGAAAAATTATTGATTTAATTTGTGTTTTGTGTAAAAAATTTAAAAAAAAAATTTTGTGTAAAAATTGTAAAAAAATAGCCGTGATAGCTCAGTGTCCGGGCGCTCGCCTTTAATTCAATATACTCGAGCAACCTGAGTTCGATCCCCGGTGCCGGCACCAATGAAGTTTTTAACTTTAAGTGCTGACTTATCACGTGCTCCGCGGTGAAGGAAAACATCGTGAGGAAACCTGCATAGTTTCGAAAATAATACAAAAAAAAAATATAGATTTTCGAAGATATGTGAAGTCCGCCAATCCGCAGTGGGGCAGCGTGGTGGACTATGCCCTGATACCCTCTGTATAGAGGAGGCCTTTGCCCAGCAGTGGGACATGTATAGGCTGTTACTTTACTTTTTTTTTTTTTAAAAATTCAGAAATGCTTTGGACGACTGCGGCCTAACATCTGCACAACTAGCGAAAACGCAAGAACGAGTACGGGATTTGTGCGCTGAGATAAAGAGTCAAGGAAAAGCTACACATTTGGACTTGGAAAACATCACTGTGTGTTATTACTTTTTTTAAATTTTCTGTGTATTATCATTTTAGAGCTTTTCAAATTATCTATTTTGAAATATGTGTTTTTAAATTTATCCCCTATTGTTACACTTTGGCGAAAAATACTAAGACTGTGCTTTGTGTATTTATTATGGTTAAATAAATTGCCTTCATATCCACATTTTTCATTAATTTTGTTCCCAGGTGGGTCATTTAGCAATGGAAACTCTTCTGTCATTAACATCAAAGCGGGCTGGAGAGTGGTTTAAGGAGGAGTTGCGAGTATTAGGTGGGGTAGATCACATTGTCCGCACTATACAGGACTGTGCAAGTAGATTGGAAATCCCTGCTAATATGTGGACAAGTGCTGAGGTGGATGTTCTTCGAAAAGCTGATAGGTGTATGCGGGTCCTAGAAAATGTGAGTTCTAATGAATATTTTATTTACTGTTATATTATAATGAAAATCCAACTAATATTTTAATAACTTTCATGTATGTATATGTTTATTAGAAAAATTATAATAATTATTATTTTACTTTATTTGATAATACTTGATAAATATTATACGTTGTAAATATTGTATATAATAAAAGTTTACCTATTATTTTATGGAAATCACTAGTCACAATAACAGTATGGTGTGATATCACATTTATTTTTGATACCTGATAACTATAGTCAAAGCATAATTATTGGATGCTAAGAATAGAATTGACTATGGACCTGTCTTTATCTGAGAAATGTAAAACTAAAAATATCAACATCCTTATTAACTTTGAAATGTAATATCCATTATTTGAATGAATTTATGACTTTAAAAGATAACCTTAGTCTATAAAAATCTTTACTATTCAGATATCTATGGTATGTCCTGTGGGTTTATCCATATATCATTTATGTTTGCTTTAGAAGAAAATAATACAATTTAATTTAATTATGTAGAGCAAGTAGGATGCACAAGTTCTTTTTACAGTTTTTATATGGTGGACAGCTTGGAAGTGACTCATATGTATTGTCTTATGTCAAATGAGGAAACCAGTCAGTCTGTTTTTTGAATATGTCTCTTTCATTAGATGTGGGTATACCTGCATAATATGGTAGGATCATTATCTCCAATACTGGAAAAATGTTTTGCTATGAACATAGAACTTTATTTGTGCCTGAGTGTTTATAATCTATAATGTTTTTTGTATTTAGTCTATTGTAGTGTTTCTATATTTTTATAAATCTACATCAATTTTTTATAATATTTTTTTTAATATATATTTGAGTTGAATATTGCGCAGTGCATAATTGAGTTTTTTTTTTTTTTTTAATAAATTTAAAAGATGGCAAATGAGCTGGCGGGGGTCACTTCATGTTTAATGATAACCGCCGCCCATTGACATTGCGTGTAACACCCATACGCAGATGCATTGTTACCCTTTAATAAAGTGTGCCCTGGCTACTTCACTCATCAGACACAATGCACAAGTGTAACACTTCAACTTCAGGCCGGTCTTCTTTAGGTGGTGGTACTCACCCTGTCTATTTGTGTAACCGGGAAGAAGACTGTCGCGTCGCCCTGCCGCAGTTACAGTGTTTGGTTGTAAATGTTTTAGGTGACGCAGCAGAACGAGGACAACCAGGTGTACTTAGTGGGCGAGCCGCTGGGCGGGGCGCGCATTCTAGCCGCGCTTTTACGGCGTTGCGCGTGTGAAGCACGCGCCCAGCCGTCTCTACGCGGACCCCTGCTTGATGCAGCCCTGCCCGCGCTCAAGGTGCTTGTCAACCTGTCGCACTGCTTCGGGAGCGCCGGTAAGAATTGCCCGACCTTTGAGCGACCGTGGTCGTGTTAGATTTACTACATGACATCGCCCCTTTGTATATTTCAAATATATCAACGACTTGATATATTCTGTGTGAATGATAAATATCTAAAGATGGAATAAAAAAAAATATTTATGTTAAACTTTTATTGGTGCGTTAGGTAAATGTTATCAGACTATATTTTTAAGATGCCCGCGAATAGCAACATGTAATTAACACATAACAAATTAGTTGATAAATCTCCAAATTATTAAAGTATTCAAATTAGTAAAGTGTGAAGTGATATGTGTATTCATTTTTAACTAATTTGAATAAACATTATTTAAATTAGATAGAATAGAATTGATAAAGTTTAAATAAAAAGTATATTTTTAATTTAAACTTTTTTAATTTTATATTATATGTTTAATTTATTACTTTATAGTCGTTCATATGGCATGTGGGATCAAATTGGAGTTATGTCATTGGTAATTGGAGTTATGTTATGTTGTATGCAATGCCAAAAAAGTTCTTCACACTATTTTTCTACTCCTATTGCAACAATTGCGCTCTTACGTTAACCAAATCTAAATACATTTTTCCATTTTATTCTTGTTTGAATATACAATTTCAAACAAAAAAAATTAAAATAGTCATTACAACATGGCATATTCTAAAACAATTTAAAATTATTTTATGAAGAACTGGGGTAAAAAAAAGGAATTATACAGAATTATTATTCTAATTTGATTTTATAATTTTTGTCACAAAAGTGTTTAAAGTTAGAATTGAAGTTCATTATAGATATTATATTATCAGAATGATTTACTTAATTTTTATAAAAATATTAATAACCAAAAATAATATAGTAACTTATATCATCACACAATTATCTACATTGCTTTATCTTTTTAAATGATTAGGAAGCACCAAGTAAGATTAAAAATTAAGATAATTAATTGCTAGTCAATAATCTTATATTTTATCATCAAATCTACTTTGGAGATATCTGAAAAGCCATGATATCTCAGAGTCCGGGCGGCTTTGTTTATTTTAATATGCTTGCGAAACCAGAGTTCAAATGCATGTTTGAGTCCACTGCTGAACATAGGCCTCCCCCACAAACTGCCACGAAGTACGATCCTGAGCCACAATGGAAACAATGAAATTCTTAATTGCAATTTAAGGTAATTTGTCTTTATGACGAGCTCATTAGTGCAAATCATCATGAGAAAACCTGCATGTTTTCGAAATAAAAGCAAAAAAACATTTCGAGGATATGTGAAGACCGCTAATCCGCAAGTGCGGTCGCGTGGTGGACTATGTCCTAATACTCTCTATACGGAGGTTTTTTCACGCTACATATATATGCCTGCTACTTGGTGCATCAGGTGAAGATGTTACGTGATAACTGCCGCCCATGGGCATGTAACACATGTAGGGTGGCAGATGCATTGTCACCTTTTTATAAAGAGGGCTCTGATTTCCTCACTCACCAGACGAAACGCAAAAGTCTAACACTTTCACTTCAGGGTCTTCTGTGTGGTTGTGGTACATCCCTGGACGATGGCCCTGCACATTTGTGCAACAGTAAAGACTGTTGCGTACCTAGAATGTTAGGAAGTGTAAGATATTCTTGGTGGTTTACTTTATAATATAATTTGATACACTCATGTGGTGGATAAAATTAACGTAATTTGCGGGCTTTAAGCTGTAATAATATATATTTTTATTTAATATTTTTTCACAGCATCAATAGGAGCACAAGTTGTTGGTGAACAGCCATCAATAATGGAGATCTGCTTAATAATGTTAAACAACCAAGGCAACTTCATACCAGACAATAAAAACTTTGAATTCAGTGTTTGTGTAAGTATATACTTTTTATAGTGATGATTTGTTATCTGAGGAATTTTGCATTGTTTGTTACTGAGGAATTGTACATATGTGTTTACAAACACAAAGCATTAGACGATAGCATTTGCTATATGTTATTACTTAATTCCTTTTGTGCATTATTAATAAACATTATTAATTGCATACTCAATATTATTAATTATCTTTATTTGTTATGTAAGAAGATGGCAGTGGAACTGGCAGTTCACCTGATGTTAAAGGCCCATTTACATGGTGCCAGTTTCTTGCCTGTTGTATACAATTAAATTGAAGCAATAAATGAGTTGCATGGTCTAAACAACACAACATTCTTGACTGTTGAACAAGACTTGTTTCAAGTTTTGTTTCAAAACTTTCCTGGGTGTAAACAGCACACACAATAATTTCTTAAGCAATTCTTGTATTCAATTGCATTCTCTCTTCCTTTGCAAAAATTAGTGCAATGAGTGAGGGTATTTAATCGTTGCTGTTCTTTTGAGGATAGAAATATTGAGAAAAGGTCGTAAAAAAAGTCGGATAAAAATATGAATAATAATATATGGATCATAATAAATAAATCTCAATGAAATATATTTAATCGGCATAATCTAACCTGAACACTTATTATTGAGCCATTTTTAAAAAAAAAAAACAGCCCTTTGAAAAACGTTCAACACTTGCATGAAAAATTTGTCAACGCAAATACGTGCAATACTTGAAGCAACACGCCAATAAATTGTACACATACAAGCATGTGTTTAGACAAGTCAAAACTTAAAAGCTATAATCGCCTAAACATAATTGTATTGGTGTAAACAAAAGACATTTGCAATTATTTCTTGTCAAGACTTGCACTTCAATAATCGCATTCAATTTTTTTTACTATATCTGCGTGTAAACTGTTGCTTACAATTCTTGATGGTCAATTATTGCGTGCAACTTATTGCATTCAATTATTGCTCTTGTATGTACAAGAAAATGGCATCGTGTAAATGGGCCTTAAGTGATAACCGCCGCCCTTGCAAATTTGCAACACCCATAGGGTTGCAAATGCTTTGCCACCTTACAAGAAAAGCGAGCCCTGGCTACCGAAACTTCTATGAAACGCAAAAGTATGAGAATTCGATTTCACGCCGGTCATCTATATTTCATAGCCCTAAATTTATCATTAAACAAAATCCTCATCATATCGATAGTCAATTATTTTGGTGTTATAAATGAATTGAACTGAGATAGGTCGCTTTTATTTCAATATATACAAGCAACCTGAGTCTGTCTAAATCCCGGTGCAGGCACCAATGAAATTTTTAATTTTGAGTGCTGAATTATCAGCACTCAAAATTTAAAACAGCGCTGAAGGAGAACATCCTGAGGAAAACTGCATATTTTCGAAACAATAAAAAAAGTATTTCGAAGATATGTAAAGTATGTCAATCTACAGTGGGGTTGCATAGTGGACTATGACCTAATACTCTCTGAACAGAAGAGGAGCACAGCAATGGGACATATATTGGCTGTTGCTTTACTTTTTACTTTATTAAGTGAATTAATATAAAATTTGTTATTTTTTACTTCCTTACTTTGCAGGTACTCTTGTTGTTAATAAATTTGGTCCAGAATAATGAAGACAACACACAAAGGTTGCTGAATACATCTATACCAGTAGATAACGATTGTGAAGTAGACAGCATATCTGCTTTAGATCTTATAGTTGATCTTTTCTACAAGCGTGAGGAACTTGCTAGGTAAGCAAAATTAACAATTAATATAAATAAGTCCATAATAGGCAACCATTGTTATTTTCTTCATATAGCTAAAACGCGCAATGTGAGTGACACTTAAAGAGCCACCTTCTCAAAGGCTTGTTCATTAAGGCACAAACCTTAACTCCTTGTTCTCGCTCCATATCTGCGCAAATTTAGCATTTTCACAGGCCATATCGCTGATACAATCCAGATAAGATCTTACTAAAACAGTATTTATCTACTCTCACTTTTATGAATATTGTGGATTCTCAATTGTATAATAATCCATCTTGTTATCCTTGTCATCAAATCATCAATATTTCATGTTTTGATATAGATATACTTCAAACAACATTCATTATTTTATAGGCGGGCAGAAGAAAACACAGATGCACTATTAGACGGCAAAAAGGAAACAGACGATGAAAAAGATGCGAAAAAACAGTCGCAAGATGACATTGATGAGACTGTTGCCAAATGTAAGTAACTCTCACGAAATTATATAACTTTTATTAAATACTAGCTGTGCCCGCGACTTCGTTCGCGTGGTTAAAATAATAAAAATCTAAATTAAAAGTAGCCTAAGTTACTCCTGATGAGATGTAATACATCAGATATCTGCCGGTGAAAGTCCCGTCCAAATCGGTCCAGCCGTTTCAGAGATTAGCCGGAACAAACAGACAGACAGGCAACAAAAATTGTAAAAAAAAATATTTTGGTATATGTACCGTGTATACATCCATATGCATTTAGTAAAAAGCGGTTATTTTAATATTACAAACAAACATTTCAATTTTATTTATCTGTATAGATATGTATACATGGGTCACACTGAAAGTTCTTAGAAAATCATAAAACAGTGCAATGTAGAAAGTTGCCAATACTTTTATTGTTGTTAAAAGTAGCCTCTGTTCTTCTAAAATATATCTTCATAAATCTTTGCATTGGATGGAATCACTGAGAAAAGCAGTGGACCCATTCTTCCTTAGGGGTCTCTTCTACGGTATTTTCGAACTCGTAGAATCTTCACGGCTCGTAAAGCTAGTACTTCGAAGTTTATATTTCATTCATTGGTATAAATGAAAGTCGCAGGGTGCGGACCTACATATTTTCGATGTAATAACAAAATATTAGAGATATTTCGAAGATAAAAAAAAGGGCCGCATGGTGGACTATGCCCTGATACCCTGATACCCTCAGTACAGAGGAGGCCTTTGCTCAGCAGTGGAATATGAAAAGTAAAGTAACATAACTTGTACGATTATGTTACTTTACTTTTTTACCAAAATAGACAATATTTTATCACCTATTAACTTGTGGATTCAACTTGTTTGTATGTAACCAACCAAGTTGAATCAGTTGTCACCAGTAATATTTCCAGAAAGTCTATTTCTACCTCAAAGCCTGCCAACTCTTTTGTGATTCCTGTTGTGAATCAGGATTGTCTCCTATACCATTAAAACTTTTTTTTTTTTTTCAGATTTTTGTCTTTGAGATGTGTCTTAAGTGTTCAATAGAAATCTAAATTTAATAATTTTAAATCTGTGTCTTTCAGATGTGCTTGAGAGTTATTTGAATTGATTAATATATTGTCTGCCGTTGAGCCGTTATAGTTCCAGGCGCTCGCTTTTAACTTAACATACTCGAGCCACCAGAGTTTAACTTCTGGTTCCCAGCACCAATGAAGTTGTCAATTTTAGGTGCTTGACTTACCATATGCTCAGCAGTGAAGGAAAACGTAGGGAAACCTGCGTATGTTCAAAATAGTAATTAAAAAAATAGATTTTGAAGATATGCGCAGTACGCCTGCAGTAGGATCGCGTGTAGGCTGGGCTAAGCCTTCTCTGCAGTGGGTATTAGGGCATAGTCCATGCCCTAATACGCACTGCAGAGTAGGCTTTGCCCAGCGGGGGTATCTATACAATGTGGCGTTACTACCGTAACAATAAATCAATACACATTTAGAGGGTAACTTTTTAAAATTGTACTAAACATAGATTGAATTTTCCAAAACAGATAATTTAAGAACACCAGTACATATAAAACCGTAACGTAAAGTTCATTTGTAAAGGTCACGAAGCTTATGGATTGGTTGAATGAATTTAAAAGAGATGAAACATACTGTTCGAGGTAGAGACTTGTAATGCGACGTCGTGGCACCCAATGAAAAAGTCTCTGAATGTATGAACCGGTCAGTTGGGTAGAGGATATTACAAATTTTGCTTCCTTTTTATTGAATTAGTTTGATTAAATATTTTTTTTTTGTTTGGATTTCTTTAACTTTTTTATGATTATTGGATAGTCAAGTGAGATTTAATCACGCGTTCGAAACACCGTGCCGTGTATGCTGCCACTTAACTCGTCGAATTCGTCGCGTTCGCAGTGCTGGCGCGGGCGGGCGCGCACATGGAGCACACGATGGTGTGCGCGTACATCGCGCTGGTGCTGGGCCACGCGGCGGGCGGCGCGGCGCGCACGCGGCCGCCGTGCGCCAGCGGGTGCCCAGCTACGCGCCGCTGCTGCCCACGCTGAGGAAGTACTACACCTTCCTCTCGCTCACGGCCAGCGTGAGTTCTCGACCTCTCTTAACACTAGACTAAAGGACAAGAAGTTCTGATGGGACGAGAAAGAGATAAAAGAAACAATAGACGCGCCGAGTAGTGCTCGAAATGCGAAAATACAACGTAGATAAAATAAGTCTTCTACTGTGGTAGGGCCACGCGGCAGCTTCTGTTGCACACTAGACTAAACTACAGGACAATAAGTTCTGATTGGATTGGAAAGAGATAACAATAGACGCGCCGAGCATTGCTCGAAATGCGAAAAAACGCAACAAATGTAGAGTACTTCTACAGTGGTAGTGTCACGCGGCAGCTTCTGAGCTGGTGGAAGTGGCACTTTCTCGTTTCGTTGCCGACTTATCACATTAAAGAGAAACGTTGAGATTTTCGTCGGCGCCGTAATCAGCTGCTTAGTTGAGTGGTTAAAGCATCTGGACGGATCCGGAAGATGTGGGTTCGATTCCCGCAGCTGCAGAAAACTTTTTTTTCTACAAATTTTAAAGGATAAGAGGATTGTAGAAAGAGATAAACTGTGGTAAGGCCACGCAGCAACTTCTGCTGTTGCTTATCTGGGGAAGTACCACGGCTCACAGAAGTCCGTGAGCGTGAAGTGAAAGTATATTTATTTCGCATTTCGTCTGGTGATATAGGTAACCAAGGCCCACTTTTGTAAAAAGTTTTCAACACATCTACAAGCCCTCAAGCAATTTTTTTGTGTTACACATTAGTGTATTACACATTAGTTGCAGGCAAGAATGAAATTATTAATTTATCATGTCATAATAAATCAACACATAAAATTAATAGTTCACATATAGTCAAAATATTTTTTTTTGTTATTGTTTCAAAGTTTTCTTCATCGCTGAACACACTGTGATGAAACTTCAAAACAATAACAAAAAAAAATATTTTGAATATATGTGAAGTCCGCCAATCAAGACACTGCACAGAGGAGGCCTCTAAAACTTGTCATCAATTTGTTTTAATTTTGTGAAACTGTGACAAAAGCGCAGGCTGTTTGATGTTAAGTGATTACTCCAGCCCATGGATGTCAGATATAGCAATGGTTAATATAAATAATAATTCTGAGATAAGAATTTGTATTTTATATTGACCTTATGGATATTTGCTAGCATTGGCCTGTACAATTTTATATTTAATTATTAAAACTTATCTTTAAACATAAAAACCACACTTTATGTAATCATATAGATGTATGACAACAACAGAAACATATACATGAATATGCGTCTATTTTCATGTGTTTCATTATGTTAAGTTTTCTATATACCTAATGATTTATATCCAATATCCAAACTTGCTAGCAGACTAAGTTCTGCAGCATATGCTGTAAGGAAAATAAGATGTCTCACTGATGTAAATACAGGTAGAATCGTCTATTTTAGTTATATCCATAGCAGAACGTCATACGGTATTTTGCTATGGGGGCATGCAGCCGATGTTGAAACAATATTTATTTTGCAAAAAAAGGCCATAAGAGCAATTTACAATCTTAATTTGAATGCATCTCTGAGAGAGAAATTTAAAGAAATAAATATTTTAACCTTGGCCTCTCAATACATATATGAAAATGTAATGTATGTACATAGAAACATTAATAATTTTAATAAGAATACTGATGTATATAATGTAAACACTAGGAACAAACACAAGCTTGTAACGCCAGTTACTAGACTCCATAGAGTCAGTAACTCGTTCATGGGACGGTGTATACGCTTCTACAACAAAATCCCAGTTAATGTGCAAAGCCTATCTATTAACAGGTTTAAGAAATTTATTAAAGAAAAACTTTTTAAAAAGGGTTATTATAATATAAATGAATACATTAACGATAATAACCCCTGGGAATGAGATGATGGCTCCTAAGCTGTTTCTAAAAAAAAAAAAAATCCTGTATAACTATGTTTTTGTTGAGTAAAAAAAAAGACAATAATGAGGATACCTACGGAGTTTCTTTCGCCTGTTTCTTCTCCGTTAGAGGAACCTCAATACGAAACGACGGTGGTAGATTTAAAAAATGACTATCGATAAATGAAATGTATATTTCTTATTTCGATGAATAAATGATTTGGATTTGGATTTTGGAATTCAACACATACATCATTAACTAATCAATATAATATTTTCACTAATATGATTTGGTGTCATGATTAGTCACATTGCTATCGGTCATTATATTGAACTACCGTGTATCATTTATGTATATGTGTTTTAGTTACATTTTAAAGTATTTATTCTTGTCTGCCTATTTATGCGCGCAACATTTCATCAAATTCTAAATTAATAATCCTATATAAAACACCTTAAGTTTAAACACCTCAGATTTGGAAATATGATAAATTTTTTTTATTGACATGGTCTCAAGTGATTTTCTTTAAATTTTTTTGATCGGCTATTTGATGCATAATTACAGCAGAAAGAAATGGAAGACAATGATAATGTTAATGGCCGAAAAAGCACCCACTTTATGTATTAAGATAATGCTCACTTTAATTATGAACACTATGTTGTTTTCAGGCCGAAGCTGCAATTGTCGCCCACGTTAAAACCACACAGAGGATAATAGAGTTCATGGAAGCTAGTGATAAGGAGGACACACAGCCAGAGCCAAACCAACCAACAGCTGCATACAGTGCAAAAACCTACTCCAGTAATTACTATCAGACATCTCCGTCAGATGTGCCTCAGGACATGTCCCTCAGTAACTTGAACTACAGCATGAATTGTAGTTCTTCGAGTTCTGACCGAATGTCTTCTTCAATGGAGGTTGATGGGTATCACTAAAATCTTAACACTAATTTACAGGGACATTATTTAAAACATTTGCTTGTGTTTTACAAAATCATTGATTCATTATCAAAGGAGTTTCATAATTTACCAGTTGCCTTCTTTTGCAATAAAGTCCTTAATGTTTGTCAATAGAGTGCATTTCAGATTCTTTATCTTTTTATGAACAAAAGTTTACCCTTAGTAGATAAAGGTTATTTCAGCACTCAAAGTTTTCCCATTTAGTGATATTGAGATTCAAGTTAACTCCTGTGTTATGTGATATGACTTGTAAATATGAACCAAACATATGACTTATGTACATTTTCAGCCATTTTAGTAGAAGTATAAATGCCATTTGTAATTATGAAATTATGTTTGATAGTGTTTTTTGCACATGGCTGTTGTACCTCATGAGTTTGTTATGATGTCCCTTCCTTCTAAACATTGTAAATATAGGTTGCATTAGTTTAATGACTAGATAGATGTGTTGATCGTGGGAATGGGTTATGAGAATCTTAATAAAATTGAGATATTCCGAGTTTAAGCCAATGAATTGGCAAATTTGAAAGTGCAAAAATAGTCTGTTAAGTGTATAAATTAATATGTATTCTTTTATGTGAATATTTTCTGCACTTTTTTTGTATTATAGCGTGAGTTACAAATTTTATAATATTCTATTTAGGCACAATCCTGTATTGTATATAAATCTTTAGTTAGTGGCGATTGGGTTCTTTTGGATAGATTAGGTTAGTCAAGGTTATACCTGTATTGAAATTATAGATTCAGATGAGAGATATGGTGGATTTGCCTTACTGCTGGAGAAATATGATCAAAATTGTTCATATAACATGTACAAACAAATTGTTGAATGCTTATGAATGAGAATAATGCTTAGATAAAAAAAATAAATAGGACAATCTATGATGTTGGACTTTTAATCTATACTTAATAGAAATAAAACAGCAAATGCCTAGTAAATATTATATATATATATAATTTTGTCCTGTTTCTTGTTTAAAAAGACTTGATTTTACTTTTTTCGTTTTAAATAATATATAGTGCTTTATGTCTTGGAAACTTCCCATGTGCACTGTTTTAGTGGAGTAAAAACTATTTTTATAAACGGGCCAAGATGTGACTTGATTGATGATTCCGTCTATCGATTATGCTATTATAACGATCAAAATTTGGTATAGGTTATATTTCGGTGAAAATTGTATGTAACCTTTGTATTGTTGTGTTTAATACTTAATTTGTCAGCAAAACAATGATACAGTCGTAATACTAACAATCAATATTGTATTAAGACTCTATTAGTGTATTTGCGAGCACAATATTCAATTCACGTAATCTACTAAGAATAGCAGTCTATTTGCCCATCCGTCTTTAGAAACTTTGATAAACCAAAATCTGTAGGTACCGATGAAAATAAATCTATAAATGCCGAGGACGAAATATATATTTTAAGTTTATAATAGCAATAAAATAGGTGTTCCATTTTTAAATTAATAATTTCTTTTGCTTGTGTCGTTAAATATTATGCCAAACAATTATTTTTGTAAAAATATTTAGAATAGAATATCAATAATGGCCATAATTTTTTGTGTTGTATCAGGATTGAGTTAAATTTGAAATTTGAACACACTTCGAAATTTTAACTAAATGATATGAGATTGATTGATATTTATTTAAGAAAATCTTAAAATGTTTCATACAACATAATTTGGCTTTAACTTAAAAACCATCTCAAGAATAAAGCAGTAACAACAAACTGTCTCGAGAAAGTGTATATATACATGATATTATTTTGTATATATACACTGTAGCCTTTATATATTATATACATGATATTATTTTCGTCTAATGTTTTATTTACCGTTTCTAAGGACAGATGAGGCTCTCAAACTTAATGTGCTTTTATTTAGTGTTAAAGTTTAATTTTATACCAATAATTTAATGAATTGTACGTAGCACTGTTAGTGTCGACGTCGTCGGAAACATTTTCAGACAGCTTTACTTAATTTTTAAGAATTTATCAAAGGACTGCTTTATGGTTTCGAATGATTAGTGCAGCAGTGTCGACATAGTTTTAGACTTGACTATTTTATTTTTTATGTGGGAAGTCTTATTCTTCAGATAGGCCGTACTTTAATGTTTGTTGTATATTTGTAATGATTCTGATTACCTAAATTATATTTACGTAATTTATTTCCCTATTTACGAAGTAAGCTTAGCTCTAAAACGCATTTCGTTAAAAAATTACACCCTTCATCACATCCGTGTTTGAATTGAAAATATTATGTTGTTTAGACTATCACGAGAGAGATATCTTGAGAATTATTATTGTAAATGTACCATGTAATTATGTTATAAAGTATTACATATAATTATTAAAAGAACGACAATTAAATTAAGGCCGTTTAGTATTTCCACCCAACCATTAAAATATTGCAGTACAAATCAACGCTCACCATTCTAACTCAAAGGGCAACACTCTAATATCTACTTATAAGTTTAATGAATGCTATAAACCATGAATAACACGACCAAAGTAAAAACTAACAAAAATTTAAGGTTTTCATCATCTGAAAATCACCCTAGACTAAGCAGATATCAATATAAAACGATTATATAATAAAATTGCTAGAAACGAACAAATGAAATCAATATGATTTGAGAAGATACTTGAATTATTACTCTAACGCATCAGTAACGCGTCTCACCGCGTCCACGTGGGCGGTCGCCGGCGCACGAACCGCTTGCCAATCGCCGCTTTCCGTGAAGCGTTTGTTGATCGAGAGCAACTGGACGAAATTGGCGTGCGCCAGTTTGTGCTTATTTCGGACCTTCTGCACTAGCTCCTCGTCGTATACGCTCTCCGGATCGTCCAGCTTCAGATGGGCCCTCATCTCGTCGACGGTGACCAGGAAACAGTTCCACGGCGACCAGTCCTCGTTGACGCGCCAACGGCACAGTCTCAGATCCGACATGTCGGTGCACTCGCTTACAGCGGAACGCGAGTGCCACAGCTTCTCCACTATGAAAAATACGTCCTTCTCCTGCAGAACGAACGCTAAGGATCCCCAACATTTCCTACGGCGCTCGTCGCGCTGAACGGCCCTCAGTATAAACCTGTACGGGGCCATGTCGATCCAGCACTTTTCCGTCACGTCCTTCCAAGAGCACGACATGCAGACTAGGAAACCGCTCATTTTCGCGTTCAAAGGGAACTCCGTGTGCAGTTTGACCTGGTGGCACATTTCGCAAAAGTGCAGCGTCCCGTTCTCCATCTTCTGATAGTCGCGAATCTCCTTGCCCCGAGTGACATCGGAGTTTAGTTCGGACGTTTTGATCAGTTGCAATACGCACGCTGCGACTCGTCGTCTTAAAAATTCGAGCTGGTGATCGTCACAACGCCTGATTAGGAGGTCGCATTCACGGTCCAAGAGAGCTATTATCTCGTCGGTCAAGTGATGTGGAAACTCTTGAAGAGCAAACTTCATATCGACAAGCAGCTCGATCCTTTCGTTTACTTCCATATCGTCACGGACGAAGGAATTGTACAGCTCTTTCAACTTTCTTGCTTTTTGTATTTCTATAGTTTCCATTGTAATAAGTTTACCGTCTTGTCCAAACCAAGCAATAGGTTTTGAAATTTCCTCTAGAAATTGTTTCTCCTTTATCTTGCGACTGTCTTCTTTTACTTTTACTCTGTACCCTTCAATGCAACGTAGCAGTTCAACCTCCTTGTCCAAAAGCAGCGAAAATTCCGCAATTTTGGGACCTTTTGAGTGCAATCTTGAAATTCTTGCTATTTCTGCCTGTTTCCAGCGATCAACCTGTAACAAAACACTTATTAATAAGTGAGGTGTAAATATTTACATATAAAAATATTGATTGATCAATGTGGCAAAGAGATGAGGAAAAGCTTCTCCGGTAAAAGTGTCAAGGCATAGCTATAGTCTGCTAAGATCGGATGTCGACCCCAAGGTGGATATGCCGGAAAAGTAAAAATTTGAGGCAAGGCCAAAGCTTTGACCTTAAAGTGGAGAAATGAAACCCCATCAATATATACAGAATATATTCATCATCATCACCCGCAAGACGTCCACTGTTGAACAAGCCTCCCCCTAATACTTTTCAAATAAACCTAGGTCCATTTTAGATTGTTTAATGTGTGGTCAAGTGAGCAGGCGGTTCACCTAATGTGAGTACTGGCAAAGTGAATACTGGCGGTATCCTCCAGACATCTCCAACACTCAAGGGCTTGCAGATGCGTAGACTACCCTTAAAAAGTGGGCTCCGGTTACCTCTCATTAGACGAAAAGCGAGCTTAATACTCACACGTCACTACGGTATTCTGTGAGGTCGTGGTACTTTCCTGGAAGCGCCTTCCAATTCGTGCAACAGCAGCTAAGCATTTGCAAGAATGGGCAGTCGCACTGGGCCCTACTAAAGTATAAACTGCAATATTTGTAATAGTAACTGAGAATAAAATTAAATAAAAAGCCACATGAGTAGTTAATTTATCGATTGTCGCTTATGAACAATGATATACTACAGATAAGTTGTGAACGCGCCTAGAGTGAAGCCACGAAATATCTCAATTGGGAAGTTTTCGTGAAAACAGAAAGAGGCAGCAAATAATTTTAGAATTTTTAACACATAAGCTAAGGTGATAAACACTGCCGTCCTCTTTTTTCTTATTGCTTTAATTAAGTTATCCTTTTTATACCGTTTGAACGAAACGAACGGGATATATCACGGCACGGAAGAAACAAATTTATTTTAAAATAATTTAATCAGATAAAACGATATATTTTAGATATAGGTATTAATTAAAAGCTATTTATATCATACCATAGCATAGAGCTGGTCAAAGTCTTCTCGTGTTCTAGGAAATGTTTTCGTAATAAGATCTTTACGCAAACGCTTTTCCAGGACTTCACGTTCTTGCTTCTCTTCTTCCATCATTCTATTTATTCTTTCTCTGTAATATTAACGCAACAAGTAGTTGGAAGACTAATTAAAAATTTATTGTTTTCTTTACAAATCCTACATACAAAGATAATTATGTCGTCGTTTCGTTTTTCGTTATTAATAAAGTTTTATATGTATAGATATTGTCTAGATTAAATTTTTACACTAGTAAAATTTTCTGTAAAGTATGTTAACAATGTACCAAAACTTGTAAGTTAAATAGAAATCTTGTGCCAATTACTATAATTGTTCAATTACAAGGCACAAAAATACAGGCACTTATATATACATATCTACGTACTTGCAGTCTTGCAGCCATTTGTGTACTTTTTGTCGGAACTGAAAATGTCTGAAGGCGCGTTGAATGATAGAAGCGTAGTGGTTATGATTGAGTCGTTTCACCATCTCTTCGTATGTTTCGTATTGCTTTGGAATTACGATCTTGTCGGTAACATTGGGAATATAAATCTGTTCCGTGTTCATTTGCGTTGCTCGACTGTAACTGGAGTCCTAAAATTGAAATCAAATATATATATAATACCTGTCATTCATGCCTTGATGCAAAAGAAAAATTGATCATTAATTTTCAGAATGACAAGGGCGTTTAAGCGTGAATATAATTACAATTTTAGACATTTGTTTTTATTGTTGTTTTAATCTCTATTTTCGAATTAGTATAGCAATAATATACAAAACGAATGTTGAGTTGGGGTAAGACATACAAGCGTGTGTTTCTTGTTGTTGTAAAATCAGAGAATTTAACGGATCCGAACTTGTCTAGTTGCCGACCAGTGACATTCCGCTAGTTACATTTGCCTATGAGCCGATACCCGACAAAGTTTTGAAGTTAAGGCTAAGTTAACAAACTTTGGAGCTATGGTTAAGTGAGTGCGAGATGTACGGTGGTAATTAAATGAGTTAAGCTAAAGTGAAGCTAGTATAAGGTGATGTAAAATGGGGTATAGAGCTTTTGACTGATTACATATTGCTACTAACTTCTACAAACCACTACCACTTTCTGTATATAAGAAAAAAGTATATGTGCTATATACTTCTAAGCGCTATCGATTTATATTTTCAGTTTGTAATGTTTTAGTTCGTAAAAAGTATGTCGTGAAGAAAAATTACAATACAATTATAGAACTTTTATCTATTTTTTAAATAGGTAATGCAACAATTATTAAAGCCAATATTTAAATATATTGGATGGATCGCAAAACTCACAACTATTTTTTCCACTTCCTCAGCAGTTTGAGTATCCCTGCAGTTTTTGTTCTCGGGGGGTACTTTTTCAGGTTTTTGAGGGGTTTGTGTGAATGCATGATGGTAGATGAGACCTAAAATATCGTGTATTAAACATCATCCTTAAATTCAGTTAAAATTAAAATGGGAAAGGACGATTTTCACGTATAAGCCGAATTCAAAAGAAAAAGATTAACAATGGATATTGAGCATATCTCAAGTACGTATATTGTCGTCATAAACATTCATGTAACGATTTACTATGAAAACTTAAACATACCTGTGTGCACATTCTTGTAGCCACCTAAAAACGGTTTTGCAATTGGTTCGGAAAATATTTCCACATTTATTTGCTTTAATGTACTGCCAAAAGGTACAGTGACGGCTAACACGTCGTTTGAAGGCACTTCTTTGTACAGCTTATCCAAATCCAACTTTCTATTGTCTTTTGTCAACAGTTCCACTTCAACTATACCAAATTTGTCATAATCAAGATCCAATAGTGCCATGCGGTCCTTTAATACATTCTCACCGCGCAGCAACACGAGATTTTCATGGTCGACTTGAAACAGACCGCCCAAATTCTTCTTAATCTCGTGGATCTTGATGATAGAGTGGTACGAGCGGGTAAAAGTGGTCATTTGATTGCGTATCCTAAACTTTATCGCGATGAAGGGCAAAGTCTTTTTCTTCGGTAAAATCGAATGAAGTAGTTCGTGAACGTAGCTTTCTTTCGGTATGGCTGATAGTGTGATCTCTTCGGAATCCTTCGTATAAACATCGATTGTCAAATTTCCTAGAGGATCGGGCTTTAGATCCGACAGCAAACTGTTCTCTTTGAGCACAGCACGATTCAACGTTAGGAGCAAATTACTATTCGACACTGATAGAAGCTTAGCTAGTTTGCGCTTCACGAATTTTATAGGCGTATTAGTCGGGAAAACCTTGCTGAACACTTCGTTTGGATGCATTGGCGATTTGAAGGTGACCAAAGTGTGGCTGACGGGGCATTTGTACTGCTCAAAGTCTCTTGCACATGGGGCAGTAGAATATCGGGATCTGGCGTCATCTCCCTGAACTGAGCATCCACGTACATAAGGCGGTGCTGTCAATAGTTTCTCGCGGCCTAATTCGCACTGGCAGCCTATTGCACCTCTATCACTCTCTCTGCCTGAATCTATAGCACTTATCTTTATATTTGTATCCATAATTACAGATTTCAAGCTCAAATAAAATCAAAACAACTCAAAGATAAATGTTTCCAAAATACCCATTTCAAATGACATTAAAATTGTAGCGAGAGTCAGTTAATTAATTGTTTGTTTTTACTTCACAATGGTTACTAGGCAACGGAATTTGATAGAGTAAATAGAAAACCCTTGTTTTCTTCATTCGTTTCTCTATAAAAACAAAAAAGGAGTAAACATTCTTGAGGCCCGTCTTAGACTACTTTTCTAGAGAATTACGTAGAAACGTGTTTGTTTATAGGACAAATTTGTAGAACTATACTTTACCTGGCGAATTAAATTTCTTCTCCGTAAGTGCTTACCTTAAAGGTATATCTAATAAACTCGAATTATCGAAACATTTTCTCTTTTACTATCAAGGTCGTTATAAAGTCGCGGAAAAAGAAATCCATTTTATTTCAAAGTATCGATCAATTAATTTCAGAGTTATAGTCGTCGTGGAGGGTGACATTTCGCATTAAAAACATTGTTTTTGCTGTTTTTTTTTTTTTTTTTTTCAAGTACTATTTCGGTTTTGTCTATTTCGTTCAAGAATTTTGAACTTTTTTCTTCTTTTCGTGCTTTTGTTTAATGTTAAGTACAGAAATTAGCACTATAAAAAACTAAATATTCTGTCATCTCTCTAATTGAGTTGAACTTTTTTTTTACTAGCCATTTAATAGTTTCTGAAACACTGATCATCGTACGTAGAAGTTACCTAATCAGCAGTCAAATGGCTTTTCAAATGTCATTTGAGTTGCCAAAAAGATGGTTAAACTAATTGAAACGATCATTCTGATCATTAAGAAGATCACTGTAAGTTTACTCTGATTAGTTAACTTCTACGATGATCACGTAAAACATCATTATTTTATTACTTACAACATTACGACGTGTAATTCTGGCGATAAATGGTGTTGAATTTTTAGACTCTACTCGACGCAACTTCTTAATTCTAGTATAATGTTTGATATTAAGAAAAACACAAGAACGCCCCAAGCCGCACTATGAAAATAGTTAAAAGAGCGGAAAGCTGCTCTATTAAGAATGAATTAACCACGCAGCTTTTAAACTGGAAACTCCTTTGAACGTTTTTTTTTAAAATGCGGAGTGGTAGTGATTCTGGCAACAAGCTCAAGCTTTCTTATAAAGCAATTTGTGTGTTTATTTTCTTTTTACTAGGTTACTTAATATTCCGGAATTAATACTAATCCTGACTATCTTTATTCGACGGGGTGTTAAATTAATTAATGTAGCAATGAAAGTGTGAAACTTATTGATAACGGCATATCAAAAATCGATAGAAAAGTTAAGTCGATAGTTAATAAAAATCGAGAGAACAATAAAATTACAGGGCAATAAAAGAGCGAATGTGCGAAGCATTGCCGGCGTGATATTAAATTCCACCGAAAACATAAAAATGATTTTCGATCGTAAAAGAATAATTTACAGACGTAAAACTGCGAGTTATAGGTTACGGCGTAGAGCGGAGAGCGCGTCGTGTTTAAAAAACAGAATTCAGGTTAAAGGGAGACTTGCATTAGGAGATGCATCCGATGTCATGTGCGTTAGAGGTAATTTATACGATGTTTAACCCGTTTGCAGTTTTACAGATAATGTTGCAGAGTGCGAGAAGCTTAACGATGTTTAACGATACGGATTGGGTGACGGGTTCCTACTCTCATTCTATTTATTTGTGATGAATTCTCACTGCAAAGTAATGGACTAATGCCAGTGTGTCTTACGATTACGTTCGAATATAAGGTTTCTTAAGACATCATTGAATATGTTTTTACTCAGATCTTGCATTTAACATCTACAGTTATGTGATACTACTTATAGACGTTCTCATATTGAGACAATGTTCCTTTTAGAAATATATCTTATAATTAATAAATATATTTATAAAAATATAAAAAAGATATATTTAAATAAATATATTTAAATTGTACTTAAGCATAAAACTTACAGTTGTTCTTCCCAGAGGAGTAAGGTAGAGGCTACCGACTTCCACTTTCAAAGTTCGTTGCACTTTTCTATTTTATTTTCAACGAATAGACACAATCGCACGAATAGAAAGAATGACCAATGACGGGCATTCCTTTAATTATAATTTTATATACAGAATATGGTATAGACAGATGTAGAAAATGGCAGTCGCTTTATTTTTTATGTAAAAGTTTACATGATTCATTACTTTTATAATAACTTTAACTTTTTCTTTAAAGAAAACAAATAATAAATTTAAAATAATTCAATGTCAGAATAAGGCATGAAATATTGGGATCACCTTCTTTTTCTTACTGTCTTGGATACATTTTTCGTATACTTATGTTTGTATTAGCGATTGTCTTAATATTTCGTACACACAGTCATATTACGACCACTGTGTTTCTTTTACACTCGATCATATTTTACTACTTCGAAATCATGAAAATTTCATGCATAAGAAGTCGGTTGCTCGGAAAATGTGTTGGTAACTCCATCGCTTATAAACGGGACCAAGATGAGCAATATTATCAGCAGAGCGGCAACGCTAAACTGACCTCGACCGGTTTTATTGCATTTAGACGTAAGGGACGTGCGTTCTGTAAACACGTGTTTTAATCAAGCCTGTTGCTTCGCATCCGTTTGCCGCGGTCGGACCGCTCGGCAAAGAAAAACTTTGCATGCGTTTTATTACGACGGATACGGAATGGCCGTGGGGTTTAATTTCGCTGACTGCACGCTGCGTCCTTTGGCAAATATAAAAAATGCTCCGATACTACGTTAATTGCTTAGATACGTTAGTGCGTTCGGACTTTTCGAGTATGATATTTACGTTCAACGCAACGTTTTAATACATTTTTTTAAAACTTTTTAATCCGAGACGTACATTCGTAGTTACTTCTATGCGTAGTTTCATTTGCTTGTGCATATCCTGAATGGGTTAGCCTTCCTGTTGCGATAATCGAGGCGCGCAGATTTTATTGTGCCCCTGGGCGGCGGGGGCGGCCGGGGGCGGCACTGGTTCATTTGATTAAAGCCCGCTGTACGGGGGTATTATCAAACGAAACGCACCGACAGCCCAGCGAGCCGTAAGAGCGTCTACATTAATAGTTTTTGTTCTCGCAAACCCGCCCGTTCCGTCGTGAAAGGTAAAGTTTGGCGAGTTCTTTCTTTGTGCGATACGTTTTTGAAGCGATTCTCTCGTGTTACTGAGTACTCGCTTTTAGAATTTGCTCTTTTCAAAATGGCCGGCGATCTCATAAGGGTCAGATTAGTCATGCTATAGCGTTTGTCTTGCCTGGTTACCTGGTTATGTCGTTTAGCTCAGTGGCTGGAGCTTTGGGCGTGTGTCTCAGAACGTAGGCTTAAATTCTCACAGGGACGAAAAACTTTTCACCCATTTTTCTACAAAGTTTAAATGCATAAATATGTTTATATCTTTAGTGTGTAATTGGTTATTTATTATTATTTTATAATGACAGTTTGGTCAGCGTGGACTTTTAAAAATGTTTTATGATTTTATTACAAAAATTATAAAAACATATTCTGTAGTATAACTGCGGAAATATCGCCAAATGGTTAAATGAAAATTTTACTTTTGTCTTAGGTTCTATAAAGTGTCCATGTACAACTGAAAAAAATAACTACAAAAGGTTAGCAGCAATGGTCTCCTGTGATATTTTTAGATTGCCACATCTTTAACAAATATTAGCCAAAGTTACTGTCTTAATAGCTCCTGATCCAAATGTCGATAAAAAACCAACTAACATCGTTTCAGTCGTGTCAGAGGTTACTCCGGACTAACTAACAGATACGAAAGTGTATACATGTGATACATTAATGTCTAACAGACACCACAATGTTCTTCACTTGTAGTAAAGATGGAAAACTTAATCTAAATTAGATTCGTCAGAAGCTATGAAAATCTGCGTAAGAATTAAGATGTTTTGGAAGTCGATTAATTTCTTCCTGTTTTTAATTTCGTATATTTAGTTTAATAATATCCAAATATACCATATTATTATTATTAATTATATAATTAATAATAATAATATGGTATTAAATGCCAAAAAAACCAGATGTATTCTTTTTACCCTTCCCAGTATAAGAAGGAAAAGTTTTAGTTTAATATTAAATAACGTACCCATTAATCCAGTTGAGTCTGCTGTATTTCTGGGAATTACAGTAGATTCAAAGCTCCAGTGGAGTCCCCATATATCATCTCTTGCGAATAGGCTGAGTTCCGCGGTTTTTGCGATTAGAAGGGTTAGGCAGCTAACAGACATAGACACTGCCAGACTTGTTTACTTTAGTTATTTTCACAGCATCTTATCGTACGGCATTTTGTTGTGGGGTAGTGCATCAGATATAAATTCTATATTTATTCTTCAAAAAAGAGCTGTCCGAGCAATCTACAATATCGGAGCCCGGAATTCACTCAGAGATCTTTTCAAAGGTTAATATACTCACTGTTGCTTCTCAATACATTTATTGTAATGTTTTGTATATACGTCATAACCTTAATTATTACCTAAAGAATAGTGATAGACATAAAATAAACACTAGAAATAAGGACAAACTTACTACGCCATTGTTTCGTCTACAAAAAGTAAATAAGTCGTTCATGGGGCAAAGTGTACGCATGTATAATAAAATCCCACAGTCGATATTAAGTCTGCCGCTTGACCAATTTAAATGTAAAATTAAAAATCAACTGATGATTAAAGCATATTATACCATTTCGGAATATCTCGACGACGCCAATGTGTGGAGTTAATACTGTTGATACTCACGTAGGCTAGAATAAGACTATTATATCTGTATATTATATTGTACCCTGATATTTTTGAAAAAGAGCAACTGTTGAGTTTCTTGCCGGTCTCTTCTCAACAGAAACCGCTTTCCGAACCGGTGGTACCTTACGAACCTATACACATAATCTTTAATGTAAAATTTGAACGATTCATAAGAGCGCGCAAGCGTCTGTTTGAATA